TGTACTGGACTCAGTCCGGTGGAGGCCTTGGTAGCTGTGGACAATTAGTCCTTTGGACTAATCTTTTCCTTGTATCCTGTTCTCTTCAATCTCCCTTGCTCCCGAAGGGATGAGACCAGTGAAGTATCTTAGATGGCCGCTTCCAGATACCTGTATTTTTAGCAAAACGCTTCTAAGGCATAACAACACATTTAGAAAAAAATGACAGAAACAAAATGGCCATTGGCTAGTCAACCTTGGCCCAAGGGTATGAATTGCTGGCATGCTCATGAAAAAATGCAGACTCCCGGAACTTGTCCCCAGACCACCCTTTGGCACCCCCAAAATTCATGTCATTGCCACGTGTAAAACAGATTCACCCCATCATATCACCCAGAAGTCTTAAATCAACTCCAGGTCCGAAATTGCATCTTCTGATTCAGCTAAATCAAAGGTGGGTGAGACTTTAGGCAGATTCTATCTTGGGACAAAATTCCTCTTCACCTGTGAACCTGGGAAATGTAGAATACAAGTTACCTGCTTCCAAAGTGCAATGGTGGAACAGATCACCTCCGCCCAAGATCTCCTGGGAAAGGGGCCTGGCAATCAGCACTTTTAGCTGCTCTTCCAGACTTTTTTTACTTAGTCATTTCGGGCTTTCAAAAAGTTAAATATCATAAGAAACATCACCTAAGAAATAAATAAAACATTACAAATATAATCAAAACACATATTGTTATTGTGTCGGTAGAGTTGATTCTGACTCATAGTGACCTAATCAGACAGAGTAGAACTGCCCCATGGGGTTTCCTAGGCTGTAACTCTTATGGGAGCAGATCACCAGGTCTTTTCTCCCATGGAGCTGCTGCTGGATGTGAACCACCAACCTTTTGGTTAGCAGCCAAGCACTTAACCATCGCGCCACCAGGGCTTTTTACCCGACTTGTACCTCTCTCCAATTTCTTCTTCCCCACCCCAAAAGAACCCCTTTCCAGAATGTGGTGTGCAGCATTCTTACGATCAGCTTTACACTTTAACTCCATATGCCTGTTTCCATAAACAATCTATAGTGTGGTTTCACATGTTTTTAAAACTTAATGGCAGCATGCCCTGCGGAGCCTTCTGCAACTTCTTTTTTTTCTTAGCATTATGTTTTCGAAATTTATCTGTCAGGGAGGTTTGTGTGCTCAGGCCCTTTTGACCCACCTGAGGCCTGATGGGGGCTTTTCTGGGGTACATCCGGCAGGCGGGCAGGGGCCAGGGCCAGTGCCAGTGCTTGGTTCCTGAGGTGGGCCGGATACTTGTCTGGATGTCAGGAACATCGTGACAATGATGAATCGCCACATGCAGGTTCAGTGACTTGCCATCAAACCCCTTTTTCTAAGCACCTGAGGCTCATGTCTTTGCCAAGAACCTTCCAGAGAATGACTCTGGCCTGAGGCCTGAATGTGTGGGAAGGGGATGCTGGGAACTTAGCAGTGGGGTGGGCCAATGTGGAAGTGGGTATTGCAGTGATAGATGACTTCAAAGGTAGATGGCACGACTTGCTACCTAAGGTTGCCAAAGAAAATATAGACATCCTGTTAAATGTGGATTTCAGACAAACAATTCCAATTTAATGGGGAGGGGGATGAAGGGCATCCCTTATTTTTATTTGCTAAATCTGGCAACCCTACCCCCACCTCAATTTTTTTTTTTAATATATAACAAATTTAACATTTTAAAAGAAAAATCATCACAGGAAAAATCAGGACTCTAGATTTCCCTACATCAATTTATGTTTTTAGTACTTTCTTCATTAGCATTGATTTGGGGGAATGTGTCCCACTGTCTAAGGAGCTCCCGTGGAGCAGCGGTTAAAGGCCTACGCTGCTAACCATACGGTTAGAACCCACCCGCCCGCTCCTGGGGAGAAAGAAGTGGCAGTGTACTTCCCTAAAGATTTACTGCCTTGGCAACCAACCCTATGGGGCAGTTCTACTTCTGTCCTATAGGGTCGCTATGTGTCGGAAGAGACTCATCGGCAATGGGTTTTGAGTTTTATCTCACTCTCTTCAGCTCTGGGTCCTCTAAAGGGTCTAAGCAAGCCTCCTAGTGTATGTGGGTCAAATTTAGTGCGCTTAAGAAAGGCTGCTATGAGTGGAATCCACTCGGGGGCAGCTGCGGCTAGGAGGAAGGGGATAGGGAAGCAGAGAACCTCCACTCTTGGTTTCCCCGATTTCCCAAACTCTCTCCTGGCACAAACTAGATGCTTAAATAGCATGCGCCTTGGGCGGGGAGTTTTAGGCTTTAAATAAAAGGGATCCTTTAGAAGAGAGGTTCTTAGGCTTTAAATAAAAGGGATCCTTTAGAAGAGAGGTTCTCTAGCTTCGATGAGAATTAGAATCACCCCGGGAGCTTTAAAAAACACTTTTGTCCAAGGCCTACCCCAGGGATTCTGATTTAATCGGTGTAGTGTGTGGCCTGGCTTCCGGGCCTTTAAAAAGCTCCGCAGGGGCTGCTAATGTGCAGCCTAGGTTAGGAACCGCTGCACTACGGGGATTCCTAGAAGCGGTTGTCTATACCACTGGTTCTCAAACTTGCCTGTATGTTGGAATCACCTGGGGAGTTTCAAAAATTATTGCTATCCAGGCCCCAACCCTACGGATTGTGAGTGGTTTGCGCTGTGGAATTTTTTAAAAGAAATCCACGTGGTTCTAATTGGCCGGCGAGTTTGCGAATTACTGGTTTACTGGGTAGTGCGGGGGCCGGGCGCAGTACGTGCCGCTAGGGAGCGCTGCTCGCGCAGCCAGGCGCTCTGGGAGCCGCGGCGGCCGGTGAGCACCTGCCCCGCCTCCGCCAGGCGGGCCGCGGGGCATGCAGCAGGCCGGGGGCGGGGCTTTGAGACCCAGCCACTGCAACCCGCTCCCGGCCAGCCTCCGCGGTCCCGACCCCGCTGCTCTCCTGATGCTGCTCGTGGACGCCGACCGGCCGGAGCCGGTGCGCAGCGGGGCGCGCGAGCTCGCGCTCTTCCTGACGCCCGAGCCGGGGGCCGAGGTAGGGGCTAGGCGTGGAGGTGGAGGACTGGGAGTTTCGAGGTTGGGGGTCCCCGGGAAGCAGTGGACTGCGCGGCCCCCGGTGCCCCTGAACTTGGCCACGTCCGGACGTGGGCGTCCTCCGCTTCCCAGCAGCATCTTCTGCGCCGGCGCTGGGGCTCCGGGCCCGGAGCGGGAGGACCAGGGTCCCCTCTTTTCCGGAGCAGTGGCTGCCTGGCGCCACCCAGAGAGAGATGCGTGGCAGCTCGGGCCTGCCCCCTCCTCCATCCGAGAGCGGCCCCAGGGCCCAGACCCGAGTCCCATTCCCACCCTAGCTTCCCCTAGTCTCCGCTGGGCCGCCGGAGCGCCGGGCAGGGCGCGCTCGGAGCCGCTGCCCTGTGCTGGCCGAACCCTGCGGGGAGGTGGAGCCCTGGTCTTGCCCCTGCCCTCTGAGCTGTGTGCCAGGTGCCGGGGAGGAGCGGTCAGGCTCCGTCTGCGCGAGGCAGCCCGAGGCCTCGGTCCGCGCACTGTTGCTAGGAGGGGGAGTAACTTGTCTGTGCTTGATGTTTTAAAAGCATAATGTTAAAGAGGATCTAAAACTAGTCTGTCTTCTCCTGAAACCAGCCCGTTACCAATGCTGTGAACGAGTTACTCGTTTACCCAGGTTCACCAAGAGTTATTTAGGGCCGGACGTTCAACCTGTGCCCTTTTTAAATCATCACGAAAGCAGTATATACGAAGTCTTTCCCCAGACGGTAGAGAAGTACTTAAAAGGTGAACACCCCTCTCCCTTTTCTCCCCCACCCAGTGCTTGTTCTGAGAGATAACCATCAGTAAAAGTTTGGTGTACATCATTCCAAAAGTGTAGACAATGCATTTACAAATGTAGCTATGCATATTCATATATTTTATTTTATTTTATTTTTTTACAAAACTCCACTTGATACTGTAATGCTGTTCAGCAGCTTGCTTTTCTTTACTCGAAATAGCATGGGCAAATGGGAAGTGACTGCTCATGGGTACCAGGCTTCTTTTTGGGGTGACGGAACATTCTGGAATTAGTGGTGATGGTTGTACAACGCTGTGGATATACTAAACACCACTGAATTGAACATGTTCAGAGGGCGAGTTTTATGGTATGTGAATTATATCTCAATTTTTAAAAAATAGCATGAACATTTCCATGTTGGAATGTAGCCATGAGCACTGTCCAATAGAAATAGAATTCAAGCCACAAATATGAGCCACCTGTTCATTTTAAGTGTTCTGGGAGCTGTATAAAAAGATAAAAAGAAATTGGTGACATTAATTTTAATATAGTTAAAATATCATAGGATATTTGTGATGGTTAAGATTGTGTGTCAGCTTTGCTGGGCCATGATTCTCGGTATTTAAATGTGATCACCCCCATGATAGGATCTGCTGTGAGCAGCCTGTCAGCTGAAAGGGAGTTTCATTGGGTGTGTGGCCTGCAGTGAATGTAAGTGGACATTCTGGCACTTGCCTGCTCTGGATCCTGCAGTTGGCTCCTGTTCTTCTGACCTCTGGTTCTTGGGACTTGAGCTAGCAGCTTACCTACCAATCTTGGGATTTGTCGATCTTCGCCGTCTGTGAGCAAGAGCCTTGCTCTCCGACCGGCCGATCTTGGGTTCACCAGCCCATGCGGCTGCGTGAATCAGAAGAAACCTCTATCCTGATCCATGGATTTGGGACGTTCCAGCCTCTACAATTGCGTGAGTCGTTCCCTTGATATAAATCTCTCTATATATAGTTATAGGAAACCCTGGTGGCATAGTGGTTAAGTGCTACTGCTGCTAACCAAAAGGTCAGCAGTTCAAGTCCATCAGGCATTCCTTGGAAACTCTATGGGGCGGTTCTACTCTGTCCTAAAGGGTTACTGTGAGTTGGAATCAACTCGACGGCAGTGGGTTTGGTTTTTACTGGTTTTGCTTCTCTAAAGAAACCAGTCTAAGACAGTATCTAAAACATTATCATTTCAGCATCTGATCAAGATACAAAATTTTAAGATTTTCCATTTTTAGTACTAAATTTTCAAAACTAAGCCTATAATATTGAACTTACAGCACTTCTCAGTTTGGATGAGCCACATTTTAGGTGCTCAGTAGTCACATGTAACAGCAGTCTGGATATCAAATGACGTATTACACTGGACAAATCTGCTGCAAAAGACCTCTTTAAAGTGTTCAAAAGCAAAGATGTCACTTTGAGGACTAAGGTGCACCTAACCCAAGCCATGGTGTTTTCACTTGTCTCATATGTGTTCGAAAGCTGGACAGTGAATAAGGAAGACGGAAGAAGAATTGATCCCTTTGAATTATGGTGTTGGCAAAGAATATTGAATATACAACAGACTGCCAGAAAAACGAACAAATCTGTCTTGAAAGAAGTACAGCTGGAATGCTTCTTAGAACCAAGGATGGTGAGACTTCATCTCATGTACTTTGGACATATCATCAGTCCCTAGCGAAAGACATCATGCTTAGTAAAGTAGATGATCAACGAAGAAGAGGAATATCCTCAACGAGGTGGATTGACAGCAGCGACTGCCACAATGGGCTCAAACATAGCAATGATTGTGAGGCTGGTATAGGACCAGGCAATATTTTGTTGTGTTATACATAAGGTGATTATGCATTGGAACCTATTCTACAGCACCTAACAATAATAACAAGTCACATGTGGCTTCCGTATTGGGTAGTGTAGGTCTCTGTCCTTCTCTGGCTTCCTAGTATTCCAGAAAGAAATAATAATTGCTACTATTTCCTGAGTACATACGATATGCCCACAGTGTGCTGAGCTCTTCATGGTTGATGTCCTTGCATCCTGGCACTTACCCAATGACTTGGATGTTATGCCCATTTTATAGCTGAGGGAACAGTCTCCAACAGAATACGTGACGGACCCAAACCAACCGACCAGTTACTGTCAAGTCGATTCCAACTCACGGTGACTCGTGTGCCAGAGTAGAATTGTGCTCCATGGGGTTGTCAATGGCTGATTTTTTGGAAGTAGATCAACAGCCTTTCTGCCGAGGTGCTTGTAGGTGGACTCAAACTTCCAAGCTTTGGGAAGCAACTGAGCATATTAACCATTTGTACCACGCAAGGACTCCAAGTGATGTTTTACGGCTGTACTGTATAGTTTGGGGGGCCCTGGTGGCACAGCGGTTAAGAGCTCAGGCTGCTAACCAAAGGTCAGCAGTTGGAATCCACCATCCGCCCCTTGGAAACCCTATGGGGTAGTTCTGCTCTGTCTTATAGGATCACTATGAGTTGGAATCGACTCAGTGGCAATGGGTACAGTATATAATTCAGGAGCCATTCCCCCAGGGATGAGCATTTAGGTGGTTTTCACATTTTCACTGGCTTAAGCCTCCTGAGTATCTTTCTTCCTCTTTCTCTCCCTTGCTGTCAGCCGTGAGATGTCGTTGTGCCCAGCAGCCAAACCTCAGCTTCATTTCGTCTCTATTAGGGACAGCCTTCCAGAGAAACTGCGTGTATTAACTTCATTTCTTCACTCGGGCTCTCTAAACTCACACAAGGATTGGCTTGTGCTCATTCGTAAGGGTCGTAATGAAGCGCCTAAACTCCCTGTAGCTCCACGCAGCAATAAACACACTTATAGCCCTTGCTGAAGTTTATTTAGCGAAAGAAGCGGAAACGGCTCCAGAGCAGAGTCATGCACAGCCTCTCCTTAAAGCTTCATTCATTAGCTGATCAGTTATGACACTCTTACCACGTGGGCACACGAGCTGGGTAAAGGGAAGTCTGGTTTGGGAACAGGCTGGGGAACAGATCCCCTCTCAGCCCTTCTCCCAGGGTCACTTTGGGCTTTTATATGGATGGGGCAGTGGGTGTCTCAGTCTAGTGAGCCCAGCCCTAGGGGTGTCCTGGATTTGCTGGTCAATTGGGCCTGCTTTCTTCAACACACTGAGCCTTTACTATGTGCCAGGCCCTGCCCGGAGCTGGGGACACCGCTTCAGTGAGACACACAGGGTCCCCACCCGCACAGTGCTGACAGACAAACACATAAGCAGATAAATCACCCAAAGTGTGATGAATGCCACGGAGAACGTAACATGGGGTTTGAGTATCGTGTGTGTTTGGGGGTCAGGGCGTGGGGAAGGCCTCTCAGAGAAAGCTGAGACAGAGTGTTCACCACTAAGGAGTGTGCAGAGACCCAGGACGGGGAATAAGAGAGGGACCCGACCTTGTCTGGGTGTGATCGGGGGGGCTTCCTGGTGGTAGCAGCATTTTAGGCCAAGCCCTGCAGGAGGACTAGGAGTTGGCCAGGGCCAATGGGAGGAGAAAGGTATACCAGGCATAGGGAAGAGTGCTGGCAAAGGCCCTGGGGTGGGATGAAGCAAGGTGTTCCCTGGGATAGAAGAGCAGCAGGCCAAAGGGGAGAGGTGGGAGACGTGGCTAGGGAGAGGGCAGAGCTACGCTGGGGACTTGGCACACGCATCCCAGAGGATCAGGGAGCTACTGGATGGGGCAGAGTGTTGAGATCGGTTGGCAGGTGAGCATTTTACTTTTTCCAGTGCTTTTGTGGTTTTCTGTTCAATTAGTTTCTTTTTTCTCTTTTACTTCTTCTTTTGGGGCAGTTTCAGAGGAGGTCTCCGGAAGCTGCTTCAAGATGGCAGGGAGAGAGATGTGTGCCTCTGGGTGCCTTGTGATTTATGAGGGTGTGAGCTCAGGGGCTTCCCCAGTGGCTGGGTACTGGTGTCCACCCAGGGGGGATTGCTGGCGAAATTCCACTTTGTTTGTGAGCTGGGATACAGAACAGGTTTGGCCCATAGACTGAGGGTTAGTGACCTAGATGGAGGGGAGGAAAGGAAGCCAGCACTTTCTGACACCCAGGGTGGAAGGCAGGGGCCTTTGAGTGAGCAGAGGACGGTGACCCAGATAGCACCTGGCGCTTTTAACCACGGATGCGCTAGGTCAGAGGTTGCAAACGGGCAGCCAGAGGCCAAATCCAGCATTCAGAGCTGATTGGTTCCGT